GGTAATTCCAAAAAATCAAATAATATTGGTGAAAATGACACAAACGGTCATTTTTTATATAAGTGTGTTTTAAATTATTCAGTTTTCGTAAAACACGCTCTCTTTATATCAATCTAACTTGTGATTCGTTACGCCATTGCTTTCATTCTTCGTATGTGATCACCGCGGACATATTCTTGGTCTTTGGTTGGGATCCCCTGTTTTCATAGGGTGGGAAACCTTTAGTTTCGAGGTAGTTACCTTGCCACGTCACGTGGTGAAAGAGTAGCATCATCACACGCTTCTGATTCACTCACTCTCGTCGAAAGGGCGGAAATTCAAAACCGACCGTCCACAAAGTTTGACCCGACGAAGCGAGAATGCGATCACAGAAAACAAAACTAGTCGCCCACCAAGTTTGACGCAACGAAAGGGAGAATACTGGTAAAGGGCAACTGCATCCTGTCTTTGGATTTTTTTTTTTTGGGAAATATCCTTCGGATTCATGGGAAATTTCCCATAGATTAGACGATTGTTTTACTTGGCAAAGCCCGCATCATATCTCCAGACTAAAATGCAAACAGACTGGGTGTGGTCGGTTCTTTCCTCTATAATTTGATGACAAACTAAAACATGCAAATGAAATTGGAATTTAGAAATCTTAAAAGGAAATTGCCAGTGCACCTTGAGCCAAGCGCACCGGTACTTGTCGCAGCCCTCGCCGCCATGTGTTTGTTGACCTCGCACGCGGCGGCGAGGGCCGTGGACCATTGTCTCTTTCTATTGTCTTTTAAAATCCTCTCAATAATCTCTTCATTCTTTTATTCGGTTCGTGAGTTCTTCTAATCTATCAATCCCTCTATCTTCACACACACACAGACAGACGTCTCTCTCTCTCTCTCTTTAATAGCTATTTATCAATATCTGCAAAGTAATTTTGTACCATGTTCACACTAAAAAATAATCTGAGTCATAATGGACCGCATGATACGTTGTCGACGTGACAGGAGACCACTATTACAACTCGGCAACTAAGACGGGTAGTCGTAGTCGATGGAAGGGATTCGGTAAAGGCCAAAAATCGACACACAAGAACATATATCTCATTGGACATGCTCGATTATTTGGATAATTTTCCCCTCCAACTCACGCTCTCAAGGTCACAGCTGCAAAGCAACACTACTTACCTTATAATGTCACTCCTTCAATCAAACTTGCTCGATTATTTGTGATTTTCACACACACCATGAAAATGATCTATCTCATTGAACAAGCGACGCAACGTGAACATATATCACGGGGTATTAATGTTTGACGTAGTACTTTCTCGCATGGAACCCCGCTAACTATCTGCAAATATGCTGGAGTCCACCAAGTGTGTAAAAGAAAAGCACAAAACTGAACAATTATGAATAGCAGAGACTAGCAAACCTAACTCCTGTATGTGGCTTCGGTAGGTGGGGGAGAAACAATATGACCGAGCAACCAAAGTTTCATCAGCAAGCCCAATACTGCACATAAGGCTTAAGGAGGGACTTGTTCCTGATATGGTCCCACTCCGCCACCTGTTTCCACCATCCCATTTCATTGTACTTGGTCTCTGTCCATCGGAGATTATGAGAGCCAGCAGAAGAATGATAAGAAAGATGGTGGTTCCCCATCTCGAGGGAGGCAGACACCAAGCGGAATCCTTTCCATTTTGCAACACACTTTTGGGTGTAATACACCCAAGAGAATCGCAGACTATTGTGCTGCTATGGGACAGTTAAACCAGAAGTTGTTTCGTCTCCTGTCACTTCTATGAGCTCCTCAACTTCGCTGCAGCATCGGATAGAAAGCATCTCCAAGTTTGCGAGGAGGGGCAGCAGCATGTGCGTCAGCAGTTTCTTCATTTTGCAGCATTTACTGATTTCGAGCTTTTTCAGACCCCAAAAGGTATAACCTTTGGGTAGCGCCCGCGGGAATGCACTCGCAGCAGCAAAGTTCTCTTCTACCTCCACTAGGACGCGGAGGTCCTCAAGTGAATCTAGTCTTAGAAACTCAAGGCTTCGAAGAGCGGTGTATCTGTGTGAGGGGAAATCCATGGGCAGCGGAACCACACACTCCATGGATTTAACTTTCCCAATCATGCAGGCCTTCATGTTGGTTGCCTGGTGAAATGATGGGATGTTCATTAGGCTTCTCAGGTCATCATCCTCCACCAACCTTTCAATTATCAGCAATTCAACTTCTCTTGGGAGCAGAAGCTGCTCTTCCCATTGCCATCCTTGAGCGATGCAACTTAATCTCAAGATTTTACTGTAATCTTCCATGCCTCCTTTTAGAGCCTCATCATAATCAACACATCCCAGTGTCAAGTCCCACTTCTTTGGACCTTTTTCATCATTCAGATATGCCGTGTACAGATTAAATTCATTTTCGTCAGTGAAATTGCATTTTAAAGCTTCCAAGTTTCTCATACTCACCATCTCCCTTCCTTCCGCATATAATTTACTGCTAAGGTTGAGGTATTGCAGATGTGCAAGTTTTGGCAGAACTCCAAGAGGCAGTTTCCTTAGTTCTAAACCATTTGAATCAGAACTTCTTAGATTTACAGATCTCTTTAACCCTTCAGGTGCATCCCAGATTCCACTTTCACACTGTAATATTCGGGTATTTACAAAAAAAAAAAAAAAAAAAGAGGTTCAAAAAGTCAGAAAGTCAAAAGTTGCTACAGTGATACTCTCTTTTTCTCATTCAAGCCGAGAGCTGGCTCGGCCGAGACAAAGAGAAAGGAGAAGAAAGAAAAAGAGAGAAAGGAAAAGAAAAAGAAGAAGAAGAAAAAGGAAAGGCTCACGTCACCGGAGCCTCGCCAGCTCGGATCAACTTCGTATTGCAACGTTCGGTAAGCACTCGCGTCCCTCGTTCATCTGATCGGAGAAATTTTTCGATTTAGGGCTTGAAATTCGGAATTTTGGGAAATTCGAGCGGCGAAGTCCGATTTTTGAGTCGTAGAGCTGCGTATTTTATAGAATTGATAGTTTGTGATGTTGTGGAGCCGTGAGATTTTACGGATCTTGATTTGGACCTACGGTTTGCCTAATATGAATTTTTGAAGTTGGCCGCGCAAGGTGAACAGTGCGCGACCAGCGGCTTTTAAGCTGATTTTCGTCGGTTTTTGGCTCGATTTTGGGACGGCCAAATTAGGGTTCTTGTAGTGCTCTGAGTGGGCTTTCTATTGATTATAAGTTCGCTTGAAATGGGGTTCGGTAGAGGAATTTATGGTGCGATCAAGTTTCGCGTTCAAACTCCGCGTTGCGAACGGTTTGGATAATCGCTTTGGAGAAGCGATTTATGGGCGCCTTTGAGTTGTCTTGTTAGCGTTTAAGTGTCGTTTAGTTGTTTCGTAGTTTTTTTACTTGGTTTTGATGTCGATTCTCGTTTAATTGTTAGGATTACAAGATAGTCGGTTCGAGTGAGCGTGGTTGTTTGATTTTTTGGGGATTCCAGGTGAGTGGTGCTATCTCTTCTTTGGTTTTATAAAAATCATATCTCGAAGGAATTATGATTCGACATAAATATATATGTTGAACTTAAAAGAGCATTTTGTTGCATAAATCGGAATCGAGCATTTACTACTTTTTAGTATTTGAGTATGATTTGGGAATCGTTTTTGGAAATGTATTATGTAAGGATACATATGTATATCGCGTTACGAACTAGTTTATGAAATGACTTCGGAAATGATTCAAGAAATGCCGAAATGTATTTCTGGAGGTTGAGCTGTGTTGCGAAAAAGTTATTTGTTTGGTTTGTGAAATGTATTCTGGATTGGATTTCTGATATTGGATGATGATTGTTTGATGCTCAATATGACTGTGAACCCATTGAGGGGTTTTGGGGTATGCATACCGGGTTTAGGATATCCTTCTGGGCCGAGCCACTGGCTTTGTAGGTGGAGACCTTGCCAAGGGGGGAATCTTGGTAGCCTTGTAACAAGGTTTTGTGTCGTGACCATGGTTAGATATTGAACAATAGATTGATCGATGGAATGGACCATCAACGTTTGATATGATATGAGATTCATCAATGGAATAAGACCATTGATGTGTGATTTGAGATTAGTCAATGGAATGGACCATTGACGTGGTTTGTATAGAAATTGATCAATGGACTTGACCATTGATAGTTTGAATTGTGATGGTGGATTTAAATGTGTATTTGTGACTTGTACAAAGTTTTGATGAAATGAAATAATTCTTATGTGATTCTATATGTATTTTAAACCTTGGGTTTGGCTTCTAAAGTTCTGGTATTGTTTTGTACACATGCATAGTGATTGCTCGATCTACTTAGAAGAGATGATCTATTCACTAAGCTGTGGTTGCTCATCCCTCTCTTTTCCAATCTTTTCAGGTTCCTCGGCTAGCCGCCGTTAGTACGAGAGCGCTATTGCGGGGACGTTTGGGAGTTAGATTTTTGGGTATGATTTTTTTGGAGTTGTTTGTAAGGTTGTTGATAGTTGGTCGGGTTGGCTGAGTTCTTGATGTACATGTTCTTTTGGTGGATTATAGAAACTCTGATGTTGTAACCAACCTATTGGTTTATCTGATATATATATGTTGATAACATGTTGTTGGTTATTGTTGAGGCTGCGTCCTTCGTGTGGAAGGACGGCCGTGTCATCCCTTTTCTAGTTGTTTTTGGGGTGTGACACACACAGATCTAAAGTTCTTAACTCCTCCATCTTTGCCACAGACCGGACTAATCCTAATTCCCTGCACCCCCGGTGCAACAATGCAATGAGGTTCTTCAAGCTGGATGTTGAACATGGCAGAAACTTGATATTTGTCCAAGATAGATCGAGAACTTGGAGAGCAGGCACGTTTTCCAAAAACGCATTGGGTAATGCCTTCAAGGAAGCGTTATTGCTCAAGCAAAGGAACTTGAGTCTAGGACAATTGGGCGCTATCCCTTCTGGGATTCCCTCAATGAGATTTCCCATTAAGGAAACTCCCTCAACATGCATCTTCAATTCCTCTGTTTCTTGTCCAGAGATGTTCGTGCGTTTAACACTTCCGAACAAGCAGACGTTAAGTAATTTATTCACCAATGTATGTCCCCGATCGTACTCTACTTCCCGACTTCTGCTGCATATCAATCGGATATCCATGAAATATCAAATGAGCTCACTTCTTTCAATCATGTAATCCTCAGGATATAATGCCATATGCCGGAAACACCGTTACGCCATCGCATCATTCAGTCGAGTATAGCTAATTCTCAAAACACCAAATACCTTCTCTTCCATGCATTCTTCCGTGAAGTTTGCTTCTTTCAATGCTTCTAATGCATTTCTCCACTCATGGATGTCCTCCGTCCCCCTCATGCTTCCAGAAACCACCACAATCCCAAGAGGCAAACCTCTGCATTCCTGTGCGACAGACCTTGCTATATTTTCTACTTCAGGTGGGAAGGCTTTTGTGCGCCCCAGATTCTTCATGAACGAGTGCCAAGCTTCATTCTCGAGGAGAGTCTCTACTTTGAAAGAAACTTGGCATTCCATCTGGTTACACACATCCAGCTTCCTGGTTGTCAGGATCAGTTTACACCCGTTCTCGTCTACCGGGAGTCCCAGCTCTTTTAGATCATACGTATTCCATATATCATCCCAGATGAGGACAAATTTTTTTCCCCGCAGGAAGTTTGATAATCTTCCAACTCGATTAATCCTATCATCCATATTTGACAGATGAAGATTCAGACATTTTGCAATCTTGCATTACAGCTCGTCAGGGCTACATTTTTGGGATACGACCACCAAACTGACCTTCTGATTAGTGTTATGCGCCTTCAAAAGCTTATTGTAGATATGTGCTATCAGAGTGGTCTTCCCAACACCTTCCATACCAAAAACTCCAATTCTCCACGCGTCATCATTCATCAAGTAAGATAATATCTTTTGCAGATTTTGTCTAAAAGTGTCGCCGTCTAATTCCTTTGTCAGCAGTTCATATCCCCTGATATAATTTTGTGTGAGTCTGCCACCAAATTCACCTTGCTTTCTGAGTTCCTTCACCTCTTCGATCAATTGATTCGTACGATTGACCAAGTTGATCAATGAAGTGATTCTTGAGAGAAGTCTCGCATTTGCAACTTCTTGTTCTAAGCTTGAGATTTCATCCTTTTTTCTTCGTACATTGCTCAGCCAATTCTCAACTTCTCTCTTTCTTTTTCTTCCAAGAGTTGACTCCGCGTGTTCTACTTCCACAATTATGTCTCCTTCTCTACTAATAAGACTCTCGAGCTCGCTTCTTAGGATGTGCATCTTCCCACCGGTATCACCATAATTGTTGATGCAACCCCAGACGATTTGAAAATTACGACCAAATTCTGCTAGTGCATTGTTGCAGTATTGCATCTTATTACCTGAAAAGGACAAGTTTAGCAGTCCGATGTGGAAGAGAAATTCTATCTAGGTTTGATTTTAATGCCATTCTATTGTTGCAATCAACACTAAACCTTTTACTAAGCCAAAAAACAACTGATATTGATTGGGATAAAATTCCCATTGTCCGGAAGAGTTAACTTGAAGCTGATGTACATGCTAAACCTCCATTTTATCTGTTCTTGATATGCAATGAGATATTATTTTAACCGCCAAGAGAACATAAAACAAGCCATAGTCTACGTCACTAGTAGTGCACCTTATCGGGAAGACATTAGTTAGAACAACAGATGAATCGAGTCACAATCAAATTTAATGTGCTGTTTGACACTAAGGAGATCATTTTGGACGGGTCTAATTAACTAAGCACTCAGAAGCCTTTTGAGAGTGAAAAATATCAGTTAAAACCACTTAGTTGAATCAGACACAGTGAACAGAAGTCTTAAACTCAAACTAGATTCGTAGAATCGGGATTTCTTTCCTTTGAGCATCATAATAGGTTGGGACTATAAACGCCATTTGATAGCGGCATTGGATTCAGTTTGGATTCTGACCCAATTTGAAACTATGGACAAGATACCAACGGAAAACAGATCATATCCATACAGTTAAACCTTCCACACAGACTTCTTTTTTTATGTTTCGGATTTCTACTGATGTTTCTGGGCTGAGGCACATGAAGGATCACCATTCAAACATGCATTAGTCTCGTGTAGACAAATATTGCTATTCAGTAGGTCTATATTTTCAAGATTCTCTATGACTGGATGATCGGCAGAATGAACTTTTTCTTTTTCAATATGTCAGATATAGGGGAGCCAAACTCAGGCAGGCCTGATTGCATCAAATACTATAAAAACTACCCTCTTCTTTAGCTCAAGGAATCATCACGACTGGACATATTACGTCAAGTAATGAACAAATTCGGATGATGCACTTCTGCACATAGATTCAACAAGTGTACCTCGACTCGGGCTTGCTGATTCCAGAGAAGGAAGGGCCTGTACGCTGTGGAGAATCAGGCAAAAGCTTCTGTGGAAATAAAGAAAATGGAATTTTCTTTTGTTTTTGTTTTGACCCCCCAAGACATCTATAGATCAGGAAACCTCATCATGTCGAAAGTGTCAAGTTCTAGGAAAGAGAGAAATGAAGAAAGTCGGTCAATCCCTTTTCTTCAAGAATGTGGTTTGACTTGCCGGCCTTGCAAGACAGAGTCAAATGATCCTTTGGCTCTTCATATATATATCACCTACACTTGATGTGGCTAACTCCGGATTTTTTCTTCAATTCTTCCCGTCCTCTCCCTTCCTTTTTCTTTCTTGAATTGACCCGCGACTCATCAGAGCGTATGACCTCTCTAAATTCTTTCCTTCCTAATCTCTTCTACCTGCAGAGTCTCACTGTGCAAATCCAGAGCCGGTTGCTTTAGTTTTCATGGACAGATATCCAGGCACTTTAGACGGAGGGGTCCAGCGTCGCCCACCCCAGGCAAGGGCCGGTGACCCTCGCTCAGATCTGGGGCGAGGGTCGCGCCCTCCCCCGGACTGGGGCTTGCAGGCCCTCGCCGGGGCCTCGCCCGGGGCCAGCGAGGGTTGCCGAGCTTTGGGAAGGCCCAAGCGACCACCGCAGGCCCTTCCCGGCGGCTGTGGTGGCGGCCACCGGCGACGGCAAAGGCTTGGCCACAGCCGCCACGGGTCTTCTCCTTCTTTTTATTATTTATTTATTTATTATTATTTAGTTTATTTTTTAAATTTAATTTAAATAAAATTTGAAAATTAAAATAAGTCATCTTAAAAAGAGAAAATATTAAAATAAGTCACGTCGGCGCCATGTCAGCGTTTTCCGTTAGTAAGTTTGACGGTGTTAACTTTAGAATTCAATTGGATCAATTTAATAAATTTTAGGATTTAATTGTACTTTTTATAATTTTTAGAACTCAATTGCATTTTCGTGATAAATTTTAAGACTTTTAGTGAACATAACCCTTTACTCTAAGGATGGTCTTCCTGTTCGCACCACAGTAGTTCTCAATCTACTGGAGGATGTTCTGGTGTGTCTACGCGAGATTATTCTTATGCATGTGGGCCTTTTGAGAATTCTAGCATACTGGTTTTGTGATAATAACCTTGGATTTTAGATTATAATTTCTTACAGAAAGTATTTTAAAACATGGAGGGACCTCGCTTCTTGGGCGGGTTTTTATTCTTTGGATCTTAAGTCTCAGGTCTTCAGTTGGTTTAATACCTGAATGGGATGCGTGACTCAGCTTTTCTTAATAACTCATCATTTCTGAATCTTTTCTAATGGCAGATAACTCCCTAACTTTGCCTTCTTCAAGTTTTCAACCATTTGACGTGTCAGTCGTCAAGAATCTTAATATTTGATATTTTTTTTCGTTGAGGAGGGTACAATAAACCAAAAAGCCGCAATGGGATGTAAAATTATGCAATTATTTGGGAGAAAAACAGCATAAGTGTCAAAATTTATGTACAAACTTACTTTAGTGCTAAAAGTTTCGGTAGAATCACTTAAGTGCCAAACTTTTTGAAAAACGATCACTTAAGTGCCAACTCCGGTTAGTTTGACCGGAAATCCGATGCGACATTTTTTTATTAATTTTTGAAGTCGATATGGCTTGCCCAGATCCGGTGAGGGCCGGCCTCAACCATGGTTGGCGAGGGGTGGCCTCGCCTGTTGCCAACAAGGGTGGCCCTCGCCAGATCGGGCGAGGGCGATCCTCGCCCAACCCTTCCCGGGCCTCGACATTGGCCAGGCCAGCCACCAGCGAAACAAAGAGAAGAAGATTAGAAAAGGAAAAAAAGAAAAGAAAGGAAAAAGGAAAAAACAGAAAGGAAAGGAAAAAAGAAAAAAATCAGAAAAAATATTTAAAAAATCGAAATATACACATGGAAATGCTACGTAGACTTATTTTTTTAAAAAAAAAAACCCAACTCAGATTAAAATTTTAATTATAAAAGTCACGTATTAATTTAATTGGAATTTCTTGCTGTTGGCACTTAAGTGATCGTTTTTTCTCCGATTTGGCACTTAAGTGATCCGGCGAAAATTTTGGCACTAAAGTGAATGCCGTACACAATTATTTTGAATCTTTAGTAAGAGAAATTGCAAAAGATTGAGTGCTTAAAATGTATCGTTCTGTAGCATGGTCAAGAGAGGTTTCTTCTTTACAAAATAATAGCAACCTCTCATTGCTTGCATCTACTGTGATTTTGAGTTATTTTATTTTATTTTCATTCTATGTTTGGCGGATGATATTGAGAGGTAACGTGGATTGGAACTTGGAATTAGCTGATAGAGAGCAAATATTGTCGATAGGGGTGGTAAAATGCGGTTGTCCTAATGACATTTCAAAGGACAAGTAGAGGAAGCATTATGGAAGACAAGTCTCTTCATGGGGATGGCTTTAGTCCAGTTTTAAATTGCCGGTCTTCTTTATTTTCTCCGAAATCTCTCTCACCTGAATAGAGGCTCTTGCACTAGCTTAACAACCATTGATCAGGTATGAGATCCTTTTTGAGTGCGCAACATTCTTGTAGAACCCGAGTCCCGATAGAACCAATCAGATCGACCGGCCATTTACGTTAGGAAACCCCAGAGACTCGAATTTCGGAAAAAGCTGAGAATTCGGGAGACATTGGTGATAAGTTGAGGCCTTCAAACCGTGTTACCTCTCAATTTCGTGCATGTCGCAGCATTGTACCACGAGGCCTACGGAATTGAGAGGAGGAGATGAGGTTGATAAGAAACATCAAGATGTTATAGTGCGGAGCCGAATTTTCTCGAAGTTTACTGTCCATTCTTTTTGCTCTGATATCGTCCATTCCAACCTGCTTCAGAGACTGCAACCTAGAATTTACAATCCAAAATGACATGAAAAAGACAGCTCAGTTTATAGTTAGGATTAGCGAAACATTCGAGGTACTAGGATGGGAATTGACAATTGAATAGTAATTCAGGATTTCAGTTTCATTTTACTCATTTGCTTCTTGGCACGACGTCACGATCTTAGCGTTGGGGTGTGGTTCATACTCCCAATTAACAGGAAAGCACGAGGGTCCCGTTCTATTCTATTGGTAGTTTGGGCTTGGGCGTAGGACAACTAGCGTCCATGTCAGCGATTTCCGGTCAAAATTGGCCGGATGGAGTCAATTGCCAAAACGTAAAAAAATTTCAAACTCAATAGAAAAAACTAAAAGATTTAGGACTGAATTGACAAAATTGCAATAGGTCTAAGACTTTTTGCACAATTTTCTTAAATTGAGTTGAAGAGATTTAATAGCTTAAGCGAGAACATAAATCATGGCACGGTAAAGTAATTGGTACATGACCTAATCCATTAGGTTAGTGACCCATTTTTATGGCAAAAAAAAAAATGTTATTCGTGAATTTTTTGAGAGAGATCAAAGTGAGGAATCGCTTTGATTAATATATACAAATACGGACAAGATACATATAGACTAGCGTATGGTCTGCGCCATACACAAGTTGGACATTATCACATCCCTTGGATCATGCGTGTCCTACATGAGCCGCACAATTTAACAATCCAACAGTTGCGGTGAAGTGCGTGCATAATGTTACCCACATCACCGAAGAAAAACACAGTTCTGTCAGAACCAGAAGTATTTAACATACGGGTCAAGAAAGGACTTGGAAAGGGAATCGTTCCACACCACCGATTCCCACCATTCCTCCTCATCTCTTTCAATCTCAATTTCTTGTAGACAATCAGAACGAGGTTCCCCATCTCGAGGGAGCCGCACAAGGAGAGAGATGCATTCTAGCTTCGGACATCCCGTTAGGGAAATTCTTTGGAGAGAATGACAGCTTATCGCCGCCCCACATATGCTTTTTAGTGCACGAAGAACCCGTAACCCTAAAGTCTTCAACTTAGGGAGGGATAGAGCGGAAGCGAGATGAACATGATTGGCCTCACTCCTCGTATAGCTCCCTCCGGTGTCCCCCTCTTCCTTACACCCCATATCTACTTCCGTCATTGCTATGACCACCTCCATTTGATCACAATAACTGATAGAAAGCTTCTCCAGGTTTGCAAGGAGGGGTAGCAACACATGCGTCAGGAGCCTCTTCATTTTATTACAACCAACGATATCGAGTTCCTTGAGACCCCAAAACTTGTCACCTACATATAGCACTCCTGGGACTGCAGTCGCAACAGCACAGGGTTCTTCCTCAGCTAGCGCACGTAGATCCATCATGGATATAAGTACGAGAGACTCTATGCTTGGAAGAGGAGAAGATGAGGATTGTGACACCGCATACTTCATGCCGTGTATCCTCCTCAGTATGCACATCGTCAGCTTTGAGTTTGTTATGCTTGGAATGTCCGTCGAGCTCTTAGGCTCATCAACTGCATCTCTGATGTCCAAGTGCTGAACATCTTTTGGGAGCACACGGGGGGATTTAGGTCCATCTCCTCCAACATGACACCCAAGTAACCTCACTGTTCTACTGTAAATGGAAACATCCACATCGCAGAAATTATCATCCCTAGTACCTTCAATTAACTCAATTTCCCACTCCTTGGGACCGCCAGCCTGTAAATGTTTCACATACAAGTCATAGCTTTGGACATCGCCAAACTTGCAACTCAGCTTCTCCAACTTGCTCAAACTCATTATTTCCTGAGCCTGTACTGTCAAGCTGTTGCATTGACTCATAAGATTTAGGGTTTGCATGTTAGAGAGCTTGGGCAGAATTCCAGGAGGCAATTTCTCTAGATTTGACTGGCCAAAATCCAGGCATCTTAAATTCACCAATTCGTGCAGCCCTTCAGGGACTTCTTCAATTCCACTGCCATAGAAATCCAACGTTCTTAATGCCCTCATATTTGCTAATGAAGGCACGCACCGTAAGCATTCACAATGACGCAGTAACAAATGCTTGAGGTTCACCAGGTTAGAGATTGAACGGGGCAACTTACGAATCTCCGTGAAGGAAAGGTCTAGAACTTGAAGAGCGGGCATGCAACAAAAGAATGAACCATCTATCCCATTCAAGATATTATAACTCATATGAAGTTCCAAAAGTCGAGGCAGAGCCCAGCTTT